AGCAGCAGGTGCTATCCAGGGAGGAGACACTTCATAAAAGTGTCCCGAATGTATGCAGGCGAGAGAGGTCTATACCTGTGGTCCCCCAGAATACAGGCAGCTTCCAGCAGGCTGAGAGCTCCCCTGTGTTTCCCACTTGGCTGGGTGACAGGGCAGAATGGGGTTCATCACAGCCCGTCCCTAATGGGGGTTCACAATGGGGTGAAGAGGACCCTACAGGAAGTCACAGGGGAAGGATGGCAGCGCCTTCCGCTCTGACCTCATCTCATCCAGATCAACCATCTGGCACTGAAGACCCCACGGGGCACCCTCCACACGTCTCCTCCCCGCCGGGGCCTCCTGTGAGACAGAAGAGCGGCTGTGCTCGGGCCAGCGGTGCCAGCATCCTGGAGGCTCCTCAGATGCAGGTTGTCAGGCTCCCGCCCAGACTGGCCGCATCAGAAGCTCTGGAGGTAGGGCCCAGCCATTTGCATTTTACACACCTCCCGAGGGTGCTGAGGGCACCTAAGGCTCACCTGGAGAGGCTTGAGGGGCTCTGCAGTCCCGGAACTGAGCATCGTGGGTGACCAGCAAGTCTGAGCACACCAGGAATTCCAGCACACACCAGGAGGGGGGCGGCGAGGGCTGGGGGACCTGCTACAGACCCGTCCCAAGAGGAATCCCAGTCCCCTTGGCTGAGTGGCCAGTCCCCAGCCCTGAGCCACTGTGGCCTCGGCCCACTCTCTGAAATGGAGAGGACGGGACCACCTCTGAGAACTCAAACTTGATAAGACACCCCCCCACATTTAACAAGAAAGCCTGGGTCCGCCCTGGCCGGTTTGGCTCAGCGGTTAGAGCGTCGGCCCGCAGACCAGAGACCTGGGTTCAGTTCTCGCTAAGGTTGCAGTTTGTCCCTGGGCCCCGGCTGGGGTCGTGTGGGTGGCAACCACTTGATGTGTCTCTCTCACGTCAGTGTTTCTCTCTCTGTCTTCCTCCTTCTCTCCCTCCTGCTCTGTCTGAAGATAAATGCAAAAAAAGAAAAAGGAAAAGGAAGCCTGGGTCCCCCTCCTGGCAGTGGCTGCTCTAGATGCTCTGACCAGGACACACCAAACCCTTTCTCTCTGACTCAGCTCAGTAACCTGTGCGTGGCTGCCCATCGCTCCCTTTTTGCCTGGCAGTCTCTTTCTTTGGCTGTGACAGTGACCAGAGCCCACCGGGGCTGCTGTGGCCGCTTGCACGCTCCAGTGCAGGGTGGGCCTTGGGGCTTCGGGGGCACTGACCCACCGGCCCATCTGCTGGCTTCACTCTCGAGGATGCAGCCTCTGTTCTCTCCTTTTTTCCAACTCGAAGCCCATTGAGAAAATGCAGGACACGCAGCTCCACCTGCAGCCTGAACGAGGCTCGTTCTCAACCTCATCGTGGTGACCAAGGACACTGTCGCTTCCGGCCTCCAAGGGGCAACCCCGGGCACCAGGGGGCCAGCATGGCTAGGGCAGGCCCGTGGACAGGCAGGCATGCCCACTTCCCTGCAAGGCCGGGGCTGGCATGGCTCAGCAGGGGGGGGGGGGTCCGTGGAGCCCTCCAGGCCCCACCCGAGCTGAGGCACTGCGTGTTGCTCCTCCGTCCTTTGAAGGGAAGCCTGACGCACGGAGGGTAAGCCTCCCCCCCAGGACACTCGGCAGCGATGGGCCCAGGCTGGACATGGGTTTGCAGGCTCTGAGAAGCAGTTCCAGACGCCGCCTAGGTTTGCCCTCCTCTCAGACATGTTTTAAACGCCAGACTCTGCAACTTTGTTCCCCTGACCTGGGAGACGCACTTTGGAGGAGACAGAGGGGAAAAAGGGCTGCATTCCCCACCCCGGCGCTGCTTGGGTCCTGGCTCTGCATCACCTCTCCCACAGGCCCATCTCGTGTGTGTGTGTGTGTGTGTGTGTGTGTCTGAGTTGTGTGTGTGTGTATGTGTTTGAATGTGTGTGTGTGTCTGAATTGTGTGTGTATGTGTTTGAATGTGTATGTGTGTGTCTGAGTTGTGTGTGTATGTGTTTGAGTGTGTGTGTGTCTGAGTTGTGTGTGTGTGTATGTGTTTGAATGTGTGTGTGTGTGTCTGAGTTGTGTGTGTATGTGTTTGAATGTGTGTGTGTGTCTGAGTTGTGTGTGTATGTGTTTGAGTGTGTGTGTGTCTGAGTTGTGTGTGTGTGTATGTGTTTGAATGTGTGTGTGTGTGTCTGAGTTGTGTGTGTATGTGTTTGAATGTGTGTGTGTGTGTCTGAGTTGTGTGTGTATGTGTTTGAATGTGTGTGTGTGTCTGAGTTGTGTGTGTATGTGTTTGAGTGTGTGTGTGTCTGAGTTGTGTGTGTGTGTATGTGTTTGAATGTGTATGTGTGTGTCTGAGTTGTGTGTGTATGTGTTTGAATGTGTGTGTGTGTGTCTGAGTTGTGTGTGTATGTGTTTGAGTGTGTGTGTGTCTGAGTTGTGTGTGTGTGTATGTGTTTGAATGTGTGTGTGTGTCTGAGTTGTGTGTGTGTGTGTTTGAATGTGTATGTGTGTGTCTGAGTTGTGTGTGTGTGAGTGCTGTGAACGTGTTCTGAGTGTACGTGCGTGGGCGAGTTTTGTGTGGGGTGTGTGTGAATGTGTGTGTACAGAGGGGGGCACTTCAGCCGCCAGCCTGGCTCACGAAGGGGCGGGCTCCAAAGCTCCATATCAGCAGGTACGTGCAGCCAGGAACCCACTTTTCCCCTCCCGACCACCCTTGGCTCACATCCTTGACCAGTCTGAATCCTCTCCCCTCCCTCGCTCAGTCCTCCCCCCAGTGAGTAACACACCGACAGACGCCCCCCCAGGAGACACAGCAACACCAAGGCCGCCGGCTAATGCCCATGGGTCCCTAGCTGCTCCAGCCTCTTTGTGCCCCTTCTGCCCCCCGGCCCAGCGCCCTGGCCCTCGCTGGACCATGCTGCTCGTCGACCAGCGCTCATGAAACCCCACACTTTCCCCTACGGACGGAGGAGCGGGAAGGCCCCAGGCCCAGAGGGCGCTGTCTCCCTGGTTCCCAGACCTTCACAGCAGGCGGGGGCCATGCTCCTCCGTCACAGGGGAGGAAACAGGATCAGAAGCACCGACAACCTGCCTGGGCGGAGCTCCCTGGGTGCGCTGACTCCGAGCTCTGCCCGCACCGCGGCCTCAGTTCCTTAATGGAGCCGGCACCCTCCCATTTCCGCGGGGTTTGTCGGGAACTCAGTCCAGGGGAGTTCACCTGGTCGGCGGACTCTAAGATCAGACCAGTTCCATGTCCACTGAGTTCTGTGCCTGGGCCTCTCCAACGCCTCGGCTGAGGCCTGACAGGCCAGGTGGGAGCAGCCATGAGCACCCCAAACCTTGAACTACACCGTGCCCTGCCCTGTCACTGCTTCTTGTCCACAAGGTCAAGGAAACAAACTTAATACAAAAGGTAAAAACAAACAAACAAATACACTGAGAGGAAAGAAACAGGGCAAAATGCCAACAAGAGTCCGGTGACACAGCAGACCAGACCTAACGTCGCTTTTCTTCTGCGTTCGATTTTCTAATTTTTCTATATGGGGCAAGTATTACATTTATAATGGGGGGAGGGAATAAAAAAAGAACTACTGAACCTAACCTGATCCTAAAATACCAGGTGAGTAGTCATAGATGCGGCTCCTATTTATAGCCGTCGCCTGAACATTTCTGGGGGAGGAGAGGGGTGAGCAGAGCAGTTTTGACCTCGGTATTCAGGTAGTAACGCCAGTGTTCTCTCGGCTTCTTGGAACGGACTCTGCTTCCCTCCAAGGCCTCGGTTGTGAGTGGCAGATATTCTGCCAACAAACTGCAGCCGCCACGTTTGTTCTTTCACTGCGGATCAAAGGTCACTGAAAACCAGAACCAAATGGGCTGAAGTTTTAATTAAGTGACAAGGTTGGGAAGGCCGGAGCTCTGAGCCTGGAACTTTCCTGGAGAAACTCTAGGCCTGCCCCTGGCTAGGAATACGGAATCACCCAGAAAGACGGTCCTAGAAGCCTCCTCTCTAGGCACCCTGAGGGCCCTGAAGCAGCCCCCAGACCCCCGTCCCAAGCCCCAGGACTCTCCGGGCAGACCCCGAGGGTCCTATCCTGACCCAGGAAAGCACACGGAGGTGGAAGCTTCTGGTTAACTCAGTCAGAACGATTCCTTTAGAAGCAAGGAGTGTGGCGACCTGGGGCTCTTGGGTTTCAACAGGGCGACTGCTCTCAACCTGTGGCAGGCACCTGCCATTTCCTGCTGTCCACAGCCTCCCACGGCCAGGACCAGATCCGGGCCGACATGCTTACCTCTGCAGCTGCCAGGGAGACCGTCCCTGGGCCCCCCTCTTCCAGCTCGGAGGCCCCCACCTCTGCACCAACACCAAAAACACCTCAAAATCCAACATAAGGCCCACCCACATCAACTCCGGCCCTGCTGCTGAGGGTCCAGCGGCCCTGCTGACCCCAAACTCAGAGTCCTGCATCCTATTCAGAACAGCTGCTGGCCACAGCACCAAGTCTCGCCTGGTACCTACAGCTCATCTGTCCAGTTGGTTCTGTGTCCCAGGGCCAGGGACAATCTGGGCTGGAGTCCAGATGGCCAGGGCAGCTCTCACCCTCTCTCCACGTCCCAGCAATGCTGGACACTCCTCGCCCAGCTGGGAACGTGGCCATGGTGCCATCACACTTTTCTCTCAGCCGGCACCGTCCTGTGCATCTTCCCAGCAGAATAGCCCACCTTCTTTACCCAAGAGCATTTTACGTTAAACACCAGCACATAAAATAGACAGGAGAGTCCCTGCTATTGAGGAGGGATTCCAGGACCCAGAACCTCTCACATCGACCATTTCCTTGCCGAACCTCTGAGGAACCCCAGGGTTCCCAGGGGCCTAGTTTGAGAAATGCCAGGGCACGCCTCCAACGGGGCCGTATGCCTGACCGGACCAGGCCCGGCTGGCAACTCAGAACCACCCCACTGCCCCATGCCTCCTCCTCACCCTCCTACCTGGAGGCCGCAATCTCTGCCTTCTGCTTGGCAATGGTGGCAGCCCGCTCGGCCGCCTCCACGGCCCGGTCCACCTTCTCTCGGATCTTGCTGGCGCGCAGCGGGATGAGGTTCTTGCGCTTGCCGCTCACGAGGATGTTCTGCTTGTACTTGCCCTCCTCCTTGGTGCCGTCGGGGAAGGTCATGCAGCCGTAGCCGTGCCGCCGGTTGCTGGCCCACTCGCCCTCATACTTGAGGCCGTCCGAGCGCTGGCTCACACCGAAGCCCGCCCGCTTGTCGTTCTTCCACTCGCCCACATAGGTCTCGGTGGTGGTGGCGTCGATGTCGTCCTCGATGACCGACAGCTCGGCCTCGCCCTCGCCCAGGCTGATGGTGGAGTGGATGTCGCTGGCGGTGGAGCTGACCGTGCTCATGCCGGCCTCGCTGCGGAAGGAGCTCTGCTTGCTGCGCTGGCTGGCCAGGCTGCTCTTGGACTCCGACTTGCGCAGCTTCAGCCCGCTCAGCAGCGAGCGCCGGAACAGCCCCTTCTTCTTGCTCTTGAGGATCTCGGAGTCACTGTGGGCCATGAGCACGAAGCCCCCTCGGGACACCGCTGGGGAGCTGGCCACCGCGGGGGAGGCGTCGGGGTGCAGGGCCGCGCCATTGGTGTGCTCACTGCGCAGAGAGTTGATGGACGTCCTCAGGGGCGAGCGGATGACCGCCGCCATGCCGTAGGGGACACTCTGCCGCACACCGTAGCCTTGGCGCATGCCACCGACCCACTGGCCCTGGTAGGTCCCTGTGGAGACAAAGGAGAAAGGGTGAGCTCCCAAGACAGTGATGGGGAACAGGCACCTTCCACGGTGGATGGAGCCTCCGTGGTCCTCTCCATCTTGGGACAACTTGGTGAGGTTAACAGTGAGGCAGACAGACCGTGGTACCCTTTTACAATTTATATCGCTGAGGGTTATTTTTATTTATTTTTTATTATTTTTGTTTAATCCTCACCCGAGGACATTTTTGTATTTATCTTCAGATAGAGCAGGAGGGAGAGACGGAGGACGAGAGAGAGAGAGAAACATCGATGTGAGAGAGACACATCGACTGGTTGCCGCCCACATGATCCCAACTGGGCCGGGGACAAACTGCAACCAAGGTACGTGCCCTTAGCGGGAACCGAACACGGGACTCTCCAGTCCACGGGCCGACACTCTAACCGCTGAGCCAAACCGGCCAGAGCCTGATGGTTGTTCTTAGACATTTCCATCCTGCTTCCCACAGCTGCGTTTTGTTCTCTCCCTTAGAAGCTGGGGAGGGGCAAGGGAGGCCTGGGAGTCTGTGACGGACAGTCAGGAGCACAGAGTCAAGAGTAAACCGGAGCGCCCACCCTGCGCATGGGCAGAAGGCCACCCAGAAGAGACTGGGGAGAGACCTGCAGTGAAGAAGAAAGCAGAAGCCATCCTGGGGAAGCGGCACCGGTGGGGTCACAGATCTGGGCTACATACTGAGAACTGAAGAGGCACTTTTAGAGGTAGTAACTTCCCTGTCACCAGAGGTATCCAAGAAGAGTTTGGGAGAGCACTCGGCGGGGACGCCTTTAACGGCATGGGGACCTGAAGGGCTTGGAGACCTGAAGGCATTGAAACTGGCCATCCTGATATGCCCAGAAGAATCAAAGCAGAGAGATCTGTCACATTCATTCACAACAGACAGCAGGTGGAAACAACCCAAGTGTCCATGGGCGTGTTAATGAATTAACGAAGTGTGGTCTATCCGTACCGCGAAATATTATTTGGCCTTAAATGGAATTCATCCCACCCTGAGGTGAGGGGGTCGGACTTCTGGACCCCCAAAGCTGAGCTTGGGGGTACAGGGTGAGGCAGCTGAGGGACGGAGTAGGCCCTCTGCCATCAACACTGGAGGCTGCCCCTGCCTTCCCCCTCAGGCGGCGGTGCCTGTGCGGGGACAGGGAACCTTTTCCCCAAGGAGTCTGTGCACCTGCAGCCCCTCAGCGCCCACTGCAACCACCCCGCCCCCCCAGGATCAACCAACTTGGCTGCAAGTGGAGGACAGTCACGGAGGGGCGGGCAAAGGCAGTGGCTAATTCTGTGCCACTCAGCATCCCAGCCTGGCCCATGCTGGGCGGACACTGCTAGGCCTGCCTCAGTCTGGGGTTACAGGAGAGGCTCTGCAGCCCGGTGGCTTCCCCCTGCCTGGCATAAGGTGGCCTGTGGGCAGCTGGCCCTTTAACAAGGCCAGACCGCTGCCTGGACAGTGGCCTTCCTGCGGCCCCCTCAAGCTGACAAGGGCTGCCACCGCAAGGACTCTCCCCTCCAAAGCTCATTCCTGGCTTACTGCCCCTTCCACGTGTGGGCAGGGGAGGGGGCTGCCAGGTCAAACACAGGACACCTGGTTAAGTCTGAGTTCACGCGAACAGCCATTTTTTAAGGGACATTGCACGGGGCATACTTATACCAGAGAAGATGTGGCTGCTGATCTGAAATTCAAATATAATAGGGTATCCCATAGGGTTTTTTTGTTTTTTTTTTTATCCTCACCTGAGGACATTTTTCTATTTTTTGTTCAGATAGAGTGGGAAGGAGAGAGAGAGAAACATCGACGTGAAAGGGACACATCGAGTGGCTGCCACCCGCATGACTAACCACAGCCGGGGACAAACTGCAACAGAGGTACGCGTCCTTTGCGGGAACCAAACCCGGGTCTCTCTGGACTGCAGGCCGACGCTCTAACCACTGAGCCAAACCTGCTAGGGCCACTTGAGAACATTTTTTGCATTTATCTTCAGATAGAGTAGGAGGGAGAGAGGAAGAGAGAGAGAGAAACATCGAGGTGAGAGAGACTGGTTGCCACCCACAAAACCCCAACCAGGGCCAGGGACAAACTGCAACAGAGGTACGTGCCCTTAGTGGGAACCAAACCCGGGTCTCTCTGGTCCATGGGCCGAAACTCTAACCACTGAGCCAAACCAGCCAGGGGTCCCATAGGGTTTTTTGCTGAACATGGCCACCCCAGATGGAACCTCCCAAGATGACACCTTGGGTTTTGCCAAGGCAGGGGTGCTAAGGATGGCAGCCCCCCTCTCCCAAACTGAGGATCCCCCTGCAAAGGAAGGAGACTAACCACCCTGCCCCCAGCACCTCTGCTTCCCCTCCAAGGAGGCTGGGCTTGCAGATAAGGATGAATGAAAGTTGAAGAGTAAAGCATAATGGAAAAACAAAGTATTTATACAGTGGAGTATTATTAGCCTTGGAAAGGAAGGAATCCGACACAGGCCATAGCATGGATGGACCCGGAGAACATTGTGCACAGCGAGATGAGCCAGTCACACTATGATTCCATTGACATGAGGCCCCTAGAGGAGTCGAATTCACAGAGAGGAAGCAGACGGGTGGGTGCCCGGAACTGGGAAAGGGGGTGGGGGTGAGTGTTTCGTGGGGACAGACAGATGGTGGTGAGCATGTGAATGTGCTTAATGCCACTGCACTGTGCACTTGACAATGGTTAAAATGGTAAATTCCATCTTATGTATATGTTTCCACCATTAAAAAAAAGCGAAGGCGCTTATAGGAGCTTCATGTATGGCCTGGTGGAGGCCATGCGGCGCAGGGGCTGTGGAGGAGTGAGGAGCGGGGTTCGAACCCCAACTCCACACTTTCTACATCTGTGACCTTGGGAAAGTGCTTTAACTGCTCTGCGCCTCAGTTTCCTCATCTGTGAAATGGGGACGGTGGTTGTGCGAACAAAATGAGGTACTGGATGTAAAGTGCTGGCTGGTCATTAGCAGCCAGTTCACAGTTACTAGTCATCATCGTCAAAACCTTGAGGGGTAAGCAGCACCTCACTGTCAGTCAACCCTACGAGCTGGATGTCACCACACTGTCCTCCAGCCGTGACCGCGCAGAGGACATCCAACAAAAGACCGCAGGCAGAGGCTGGCTTGTTCTGAGTGACAACAGGTGGAGCAAGGGCTGCAGATCCGGGGAGTGGGCTGTGCCTCCCCCTCTCCGAGCTCCCGTGTCATGTCATCCTGGCTTTCCAGGGGCCGCCCAGCCGTGCCCTTGAGGAGCTAAGGGACCTGGACAAACCACAGCCTTTGTGAGCCTCAGTTTCCATATCAGAGAAAGGAGGGCAACTCCTTGGCGACTTATTCCTGAATTCTGTGGTTCTGGAGATCCCCTGACAGATTAGCTACCACTGGGGAGGGTCTGACTGTGGGCACAGGGCATGAGCTGGGCCCAGACAAGGGTGACACACTTCGTGTCCTGAACAGGCAACTCCACAGACAGCAAACAGATGGGCAGTGGCTGGGCTGGGGGATAGGAGTGACCGCTAATGAGGACAGGGTTCCCTTTCCAGGTGATGAAGATGGTCTGGGACTCGACAGAGGTGGTATTTGCACAACACTGGAAATGGGTAGGATGCCCCGAAGGGCTCACTTTACAATGGTTAGTTTTACATTACGTAGACTTCCTATCAATTCTTCAAAAAAGATATAATGATCAGTAGCAGAGAAATGAAGCGCAGTAAGAAAACTTACGTATATATAAGTTCATATTCTCAAAACGAGACGAAGAAGAGCCGATCAAGTTCTAGGGGGACATGGACTTTAAAGCAAACTCCTGTGCCCAACGGGGTCTGGCTGGTGCGGACCACCCAGACGTGCTGGGGCTCTGGGAGAGCGGAGCCCATGACCGGGGGGACCGGACTTCACCTGTCAGATTCCGATTTATTCACCTGTTTAATGGAGGTGACAACTCTACCCGCACGCTAGGCTCGTGTTCTGTCCACACGCACAGAGAGCACTGGGCGTGGCGGGGCGGCTGGCCTACCTGCTCCGAGCGTGCGGTCTTCTCGTAGGCACACGTTTGCCCCAGGGGGAACATCTCTGATTTCATAGCTGACGTCAGTGAGAAAACGGATTTCAGTACACAGAAACACTCTCCAGGTGAGCTCTGTTCTGACTGCCCGGGGCCGCTCGGCCTCGTGGCTCCTCAGCCAAAGGTGGGAAAGAGCCCGGGGGGGGGGGGGAGGGGGACACTTGGGCAGCTCAGCAAGGAGCCCGTTCCCCAGGGAGTCTCCCGGGCACCTGCCCACCCTCGTTGGGCCTTCCTTCTCTCTCTCTCTCTCTCTCTCTCTCTCTCGGAGGGTGGGGATGGAGGTCCCCATCGCCCAGCAAGACCAAGACAGAAGATCTGAGTGGACTCAGGTGAGGAAAAAAAAACCTCCCTAAACCTCACTTGTCAGATGCCAACGAGAATGATCCAGACCACGGGGAAGAGCAGACAAGACGAGACCACCAGCGGGTGTCACACTCGAACAGCATCAGCATCCCCTGCCAGGCGTGTTAAAGCCAAGTTTCCGACCCCACGGGACGGTGCACACGAACACCTGCACTCCTGAGGGGCTCCAGGTGAGGCTAGTCCGTGCTCCGGGGATGCCGCTTCCGAGAGTCACTCTGGCACCTGCCACAGCATCTGGGTCGTGTGGGCACCAGTGATGTTTGGTTCGGGAAACTTCTGGGTCCGAATTTGAAAACCAGAGCCCTGGGCTGGAGCACAGCCTGGCCAGCTCTGCCCACACTGCCCAGCCAGCTAAGATCTGGCCTCAACCCCAGCCCCCGTATCTCGGGTAGCAGGGATGGTGCACGCTAGCCAGGTTACCTGCATCTCTCTCGGGCCCCGTGTGTCTCACACACACGCTTACATTCCTCCTCTGCAGCCCCCACCCATCAACTGAAGTTCTGAAGCCTTCACCCCAGGCCCAGAGGACCGGCCTCAT